TTGGAGGAGCTATACTCAGAAGAACTTTATCTCCAGTTCCTTTGTTTGGATTTTGCTGGTACGTGATCCATGGCTGGACGACGTCCCCCGTTCTACTCACCTTCAACTCCTCTTGGATGCAATGGCGACTCTGCAGTCGAACAACTGTGTGGGAGAGACGAACTCAAAGAAGAGAAGCTAGCGGTAAATATATGTTCGTTTACTGCCTGCTAAGCTAAAAGCTAAAGCTACGGCTAATAGCAGCCTAGCCTAAAGCTATGGCTAATAACAGCCTAGGCTAAAGCTACGGCTAATAGTAGCCTTGCAAGAACAAGCTTTACTAAAGTGTATTGTTTGTGATTCACAGGAAGCAGTATGCCGTTTTCACAACTCGGAGACAAATTGCAGGCGCGATGAACCGGAGCAAGGGTAAGATTTAAAGAATATGCTTTCATTCTGTGGTAAAAGGAAATAGATACGGATGGATACCGATCACAACTGTACATTTTGTTTTCACAGACTAATCTCGCCTCACAATGAGGCGGTGACCTATTCATACCACTCTCATTTAATTGTTTTCCAGCTGCCTGTAAGACGTATTATGAGACGTTACGCAGGAGCTTCAGATATACGCAGCCAGAGAACACGTTGCACGCGGAATCTGCCAAGCATTCAGAAAAGAAAGAGAGTAAGACTTTATTTGGTGACTATTTTTCAGGTGCATTGATAGATGTGTTGTGTCCATACGCAGTGCATCCCATCGCATAGTGCTGATTCATTGTTTTTTTTTTCAGCTGCTGAAAGCGAGGCAGAGTGTGCTAGCAGATGAGGAAGTGGAACTCTGGAAGTCCGCCACCGTCGGCCTCATGTCCGACGAAGAAGATGGCGTCGTTGGCGGTGTCTCTGGATGGATTGTACGGTCGCCGCCATTTCGTAGGCCGGATCTCACTGAACTCTGTGTTAAGCTGCAGTCCCGGTTAGAAGCGATGCCGAAGTACAGAGCCACGCACAGTAGGCGTCTGCACATCGGACCTGCCTCGGAGGAAATGCTGCCAGTTACCTCCAACCCTGAGGAAGCAAACGGACAGTTCACAGAGTTGTAATTTTTGGATACGCATGTGTGAGCAGATCCTCGCGTTGTATATAGTTGTGTTTGTTTTAATAAAGCTCTTTCTTTGCATAAACAGCTTCCTGGCAAATGTTCATTTCCTGTATAAATTAATTCATGTCCTTGATGGTAGCCTAATAATTGTGTAGTAGTGTAGAATAACATAAATACACAGCATATGAATAAATAAATATATGAATATATGAATATATATATATATATATATATATATATATATATATATATATATATATATATATATATATATATATATATATATTTATGTAAATTTATATGTAAATATATATATATGCCAACTAATCAAGAGCGACTTTACTTGTTTAAAAAGAAGTGGTTCCGTCCAATACTCAGTAAGAAAATTAAAGCCTGGCGTGGCCACGTGTGGTTTTGCTGCCAATCACGAGCGATTTTCCTTGTTTGAGAATAGTGGTTTCAGCCAATACTGAGTAGGTTATTCAGGTTATTCAGACCTGGCCAGCCGCGCGGGTTTGCTGCATTCATATGCTAATTAGGGCCATTAGTACAGCTGATCGCTCTCCACATACGTCAGAGTCCGTTTCCGACAATTTGTGGCACTGACAAACGGCGACAAGCGCGGGTTGCAAATTGTCGGAAACTGACGAAAATCAGGGAGATCTGCGGGAGTTTACGGGGACGAAAATCTCACTTTTCATGCAGTGTTAGTAGGAGCAGAAAACGAGATGTGCGAAGCAATCAAGATCTGGAATCAATCAAAGATCTCAGATGTTCTTTTTGCAGAAAAACATATCCTGGATATTAAACCCGCCAGCAGGTTCTCATTTTGGGGGCGTCTGGCAAAGATGGATCCATTTGTGAGAAGAATTCTTTACCAGATGTTGAAACAGCCATCCCTCGATGATGAATGCCTTCAGACATTATTTTGTGAAGTGGAAGCCATCATTAATGGCAGGCCAATAACAAGAGTGTCAGATGAGCAAAATGATGTAGAGGCACTCACTCCTAACCATTTGCTTCTCCTCAAAAGCCAGCCACTATTTCCTCTTGGATTGTCTCAGAAGGAGGATTTGTATGCAAAGCGGAGGTGGAAACAAGTTCGGTACCTTTCTGACATTTTCTGGAAGCAGTGGACAACAGAGTACTTACCTCTTCTACAGGAGAGACACAAATGGACAGTTACGAGACAAAATCTGAAACCAGGAGATGTTGTTCTCCTAGTTGATGAGACATCACCAAGAAACTCCTGGCTGATGGGAAAAGTTGAAAAATTTGTTCCAGATTCAAATGGGCTTGGTTTACGTGTATTTCTTAAAACTAAAAGTAGTATCTTGGAACGACCTGTGGATAAGTTATGTTTGTTGTTGGAAATGTATGTTGAACAGTGAATATTCAAATATGCTGTAAACTTTACAGAGCTTCGGATTCATAAAATGTGATATGAGTAAACTTGTGTTTAGTTAACCAGTAACTTGAGATAATGTTACATAAGGATGTTAGATTACCTTATTCAGAACTAAGTTATAAATTAGGCTTTCGTATTTAGTAATTGTTAGATCCCTTGAAAGTAACAATTAAGGGCCGGAATGTAAGCCTAATTTATAGAAGATATTAGTGAAATTGAATTTAAAATACTTTACCTTCTATTTTAGGAGCATCATGTACAGGATGGTGACAAAGTGGAGCAGTGGTGCAGCTCTGCAGCAATGACTGAAGCTCTCTTTAGCTTTCTTTCAATTTAGGAAAACCATCTGTGAATATTTATTTATTAATATAACTTTTTTCTGATGGACCTAATCAAAGGTGGGACTTTGTCTTACCATTAGTTCCCCTCTCAGTCAAAAGTATCAATGACTGCCCAAAATTGGAATGTACAATAATTAATTATAAAATAAAGAATATTTTATTTAATCTCTTAAACTTGTGCATTCAGTTCTTTGGCATGTTATTTATTCCATCTCATATATAAAAAACATAAAATGTAAAGCTAGTAGTTCAAAATAAATACAACATAAAATTGTACAATAGATCTGCCTTTTAAAAAACCACAGCTCCTCTTAGGAACTTCCCTTACAGTCACAAATTAAGTTGATGAATTAGGAACAAAATATTGAACATAAATTAATTAGACTTATTTCGTCGTCGTCGTCGTCTCCCGCTTTATCCGGAACCGGGTCGCGGGGGCAGCAGACTAAGCAGAGACTCCCAGACTTCCTTCTCCGCAGACACCTCCTCCAGCTCTGCTGGGGGAAGCCCTAGGCGCTCCCAGGCCAGCCGAGAGACGTAGTCTCTCCAGCATGTCCTGGGCCGTCCCCCGGGCCTCCTCCCAGTGGGACGTGCCTGGAACACCTCCCGAGGGAGGTGTCCAGGGGGCATCCGAAGAAGATGTCCGAGCCACCTCAACTGACTCCTCTCGATGTGGAGGAGAACCGGCTCTACACTGAGCCTCTCCCGAATGACCGAGCTCCTCACCCTATCTCTAAGGGAGAGCCCAGCCACCCTGCGGAGGAAGCTAATTTCAGCCGCTTGTATCCGGGATCTCGTTCTTTCGGTCATGATCCAAATTTCATGACCATAGGTGAGGATAGGAACGTAGACCGAACGGTAAATTGAGAGCTTTGCCTTTTCGCTCAGCTCTCTCTTCACCACGACAGACCGGTGCAGCGTCTGCATTATTGCAGCAGCCGCACCGATCCGTCTATCGATCTCCCGCTCCATTCTTCCCTCACTCGTGAACAGGACCCCAAGATACTTGAACTCCTCGAATTGAGACAGGGACTCTCCTCCAACCTGAAGGGGACAAGCCACCTTTTTCCGGTCGAGAACCATGGCCTCGGACTTGGAGGAGCTGATTCCCATCCTGGCCGCTTCACACTCGGCTGCGAACCGCCCCAGCGCACGCTGTAGGTCTTGGCAGGAGGGAGCCAGCAGAACTACATTATCCGCAAAAAGCAGGGACGAGATCCGCTGGTCCCCGAACCAGACCCCCTCCGGTCCTTGGCTGCGCTTAGAAATCCTGTCCATAAAAGTTATGAACAGGACCGGTGACAGAGGGCAGCCCTGTCGGAGTCCAACATGCACCGGGAACAGGTCCGACTTAATGCCGGCAATGCGAACCAGACTCCTGCTCCGATTGTACAGAGAACGGATGGCCCCTAATAAAGGGCCCCCGACTCCATACTCCTGGAGCACCCCCCACAGGGCAGCACGAGGGACACGATCGAATGCCTTCTCCAAGTCCACAAAACTTGGACTTATTTCATTTGTTTTAATTTTTTTCAACATTAATGAGTTTCACATGTGGGAAAACAACTGATACTAATCTGTTCTGTACATCCATTCTGTTTTGCTGCTTGGTTTTGGATGTTTGTCAAAGCTGAAGGTGAACTCAAACTTATAAGAAAAACTTACTTTTTTATTGAAAAAGGCTTATTTATTTTTTCAGTTGGGTTCACACAAAGAAAAACAGACCCCAGCCCTGTTTAATTTCACTACTTAAGAAAGAGTACCCTCTGTTGGGATTTACTAATTTAAGATACGCGACAAATTCCTTACAAAAACTGCTGGGTTTCAAGGTGAAGGCATAGAGAGTGAGCCGTCTGTAAGGGATAGCCAGCTGAAAGTTAGCTCTTCTGCCCATTTCAGGCATGCTGCTCAGGGAAGAGTCGCAACTTCCCTAAAATAAGAACTAATTTAATGTCACTTAAATACCAAACCTGTGCATATTACACTTTCCATGAAAACAAAACTGTTTCTGACTGGCAATCCAACCACCCGCCCCCACCCCCTTCCCATTCAAGCAGGTATTGTCAACTAACACAATACCTTCTTGAAGAGTCTTTCCCATAATTAGTCCGACCAATGCTTTGAGTCACAATCCTATCACTATCTTCAATCAGCAGAGAAAACTTCTTACCTTTTTCTGCTGAACTTGGAGCCTTTTGGGTGTAACGTTTTCCTTCTTTGATATCTTGAATATTTGCCATGATGTCACCGGCTGCAGACTGACCCTCTTGAGGGCTGCAGAATTTAACACACCTGATGAATTTCAGTTTCTCCTCATCATCAATGTCTTTTATTATGGACGTCCCCTCATTTCCCGGAGCCTCTCCCTTGACCACAAGAATCATGCTCTTTGTTACTTTCTCACCAAATTCAGCCTTTATATTCTCCACCATTTTTTTTATTTCTTCTTTGGATTGACCGTTCTTAATGAGCAACAGGAACACATGGTGAGCGGTTTTGGAGATGTACCTCTTGATCTTTTCCATTTCCTTACTATCATCTGGGACTGAATGAGACAGCGGTTTACAAAGAGCCATATCATTATCTTCACAGCTCCCAGGGTAAACCTCTTCTGCGGGCATAAAGGAAAGGTTGAGGCTGGTCTCACTGGACTGCGGGTGGTTCTGGATCAAGTTAATGATTTCATTCCTTTCTTCCTCATTGCTCCCAATCACCAGGATTTTTAGCTCCAGATTCTCTGTTGGAAAATGTCAGAAATCATTAAGATGTGAGCTTTTCAAAGCAGCAGATCACAATGTTCTATGAGTTTTTTATAACAGCAAAACAGACTATTTTTATCTTTATTACAGTGGCGCAGAAAGGGGGGGCATGCAGTGTACAAGGTGCATAGTGGCACTGCTATACTAGGGGAACGCCAAAGCATTGATAAAAATCTTAAGTATGCATTTTTTAGTGCATGTGTAAATGATATGGACTCACTAAAAAGAGAGCCATCAGGAGCTCAAAAAAGGCAACAAAAGAGGGAGAAGGAGAAAGATGTTGCTACAGTTAAAGGCCACTTCTCCAGTGGCTAAAAGACGGCATGTAGGGAAAGTTTAGAAGCTGGAGCCTCTGTATGGAGGCTGGTATAGATTAACGTTAGCTTAATTACTCCAAGTAAAACAGCAGGTTACTGTAGCCTTGCAACTGTGTACGTATCAGTATTTATAAAATGACAGATAATGCCAAAAAATATCAATAAAATTTTATGTGGTTACTTTATTGTTCAGGCAATTATTAAATTAACTAGTCAGTGAATCATTGAATAGAATTAAAACCTGCAAATAGATTTTCTGATTCAGAAATAGCATCACTGTGACAGACTGGGAACCTGTCCAAGGTGGACCTCTTGGCCATAGACTGCCGGGAATATTCAAATTTAATTCAATTCTATTCAGTTTATTTCTAAAGCGCCAATTCACATCATGTCATTTCAGGTCACTTTCCAGTTCACCAGATCATCCAGTCAAACTGATTCAAGGTTTTCTATCTAAGGAAAACCAGCTGATTGCATCGACTCATTGACTCTTCAGCAATCCCTCACACTAAGCATGCTTGTAGCGACAGTGGAGAGGAAAAACTCCCTTTGAACAGAAGGAAACCTCCAGCAGAACCAGGCTCAGTGTGAGCGGCCATCTGCTGAGGCCCACTGGGGTTCAAGGAGACAGAAGCAGACATAGAAAAAGAAGCATAGATACAAAAGGCAACTGTCAACCAGCTCCACAGGCGGCCCCGTCCAGGAAACACACAGCCAGGCAGACGAGCTCCGAGCCAGCTCCCATGTCGGAGGATGAAGAGAGCACATCCAGTTAGTCACAGTCAGAGAAACAGGACTACACTGGAAAACAGGCCAAGCTCCAACATCTAGAAACAAAGGTGTTGATGGCAGCAGCACAGCTGATATTTCTCTCCAGGATGGAGTAACAGCCAAACAGGAACAGACCAGATGAAGCTACTATGAGAAAAAGCAGAGAGAGCAGAACGTTAGAGATTGAACTAACAGATTCTGCAGAGTGGGAGAATAGAGATAGAATGAAGCAGAATGATGAAAAAGGGGTCCCTATGTCCTCCAGCAGTCTAAGCCTATAGCAGCAGAACTATAGAGATAGCTCAGGATAACCTGAGCCACTCTAACTATAAGCTTTATCAAAAAGGAAAGTTTTAAGCCTAGCCTTAAAAGTAGACAGGGTGTCTGCCTCACGGACTAAAACTGGTAGTTGGTTCCACAGGAGAGGAGCCTGAGAACTAAAAGATCTGCCTCCCATTCTACTTTTAGAAATTCTAGGAACCACTAGTAAACCTGCAGATTGAGAGCGAAGTGCTCTGTTAGGAACATAAGGAACAATCAGATCTCTGATATCAGATGGAGCTTGGCCATTTAAGGCTTTATATGTGAGAAGGAGGATTTTAAATTCTATTCTGGATTTAACAGGAAGCCAATGAAGAGAAGCCAGGATAGGAGAGATATGATCTCTCTTTTTCATTTTCATCAGAACTCTGGCTGCAGCATTTTGGATCAGCTGAAGGCTTTTAACTACAGTTTGTGGACTTCCTGATAGTAAAGAATTACAATAGTCCAGCCTTGAAGTAACAAATGCATGGACTAGTTTCTCAGCATCACCCCTGGACAGGAGATTTCTCATTTTTGCAATATTCCTCAGATGAAAGAAGGAAATTCTAGAAACCTCTTTGATCTGGGATTTAAATGACAGGTCCTGATAAAAAACAACACCAAGATTTTTTACTTTATTATCTGAAATCAGTTTAATCCCATCCAAATGAAGTGACTGACTAATCAGTTTCTTTTTCAGAGACTCTGGTCCAAAGACTATAACTTCTGTTTTGTCTGCATTCAGAAGCAGAAAGTTAAGAGTCATCGGGTTTTTATGTCTTCAGACATGCCTGTAATTTATGTAATGGATTAGCTTGATCCGGATTATAGACAGATATAGCTGGGTATCATCAGCATAACAGTGGAAATTAATCCCATGTTGTCTAATTTTTCATTCCAGATTCTCATTTTGTTTCTTATATTTTGGATATGATGTCATATCATGTCAATGATATGTCTGCATATCCCTCAGAAAGTATGTACTTCTGCCCCTGACCTATCATTTCATAAGACAGCTGCAGGTCTTAACCTAAGCTTAAAAAAAAAAAAAAAAAAAAAAAAAAAAAAAAAAAAAAAATTAATTGCTAAACACTGGAGCACAAATGTACTACACTTAGATTGGAAAATGCTTTTGTTATTTGGCACGGTTATTGCTGTAAATTTCAAAAATAAAAGTTTAGTTAATTTTTTGTAAAGTCATGCCAGGATGGCAATATGGTTGGCTAGAAACATTATGCATTTTGAGAAAAGAAAGGTCAATATTATTAAGTTGTTTAAAAGTTTAGTTAATCGAGATTTGTTTATGTTATATAAGTTTCTTTCTGCCACTGAGTTTGAAAATGTTTTTGTTTCAGGAAGTTCTTTCATTAACACAATTGACAATAAATTGATCATTAATTTTGAGTGATTTAATTTCTTTTTGCCAAACTTTCAACCACTAATTTGGTTGGAAGTTTATTTTGGAAGTCTTCGGTTTTGACTGACCTCTGTGATATGATTTGTTCCTTTATTGCAATTCTTAAAAATCCAAATTTGTATTTTTTTTTTTGGAAATTCTGTTCATTGTGTCTTTAATTAATACTGTTCCTTGGTTTTCTGTATATATTAAATTTCTTAAATTTATGAGTAATTTTTCTGTGTTTAATTTCATGTTTTGTCAATATTTTGTACTTTTTATATTAATAAAAAAAAAAAAAAAAAACCTAAGGGGACATTCGTCATTAATGGGCACAAATCAATTACTTCCTGAATTTAAGGCAGATTCTTTGTTTTCTCTTTCCCTGATGGCCAGACATACCTGCATTAATCAGATTATCCAGGAATGAAAGAGGAAACAAAGGAGATGCCTTAGGTTAAGAAAATAGTGGAGCTGTGAAGAGAGCCCATTAAAAAGAAAAATAAAAAAAGAGAAAACATTTGTAAAGAGGAATGAGATTGTAATGGTGTTTCTAAACCAACTACTTTACTTTGGACTTTTGCAAGATCCAAAGTATCCCTTTAACTGATTCATTAGGAGACATGAAGCAGCCACTAGGTTCAGAAGTTGATCTAGGTTGTTTTCTAAAAACAACTCAACTTTACACACAATAAAATCCTATTTTATATCTAAATAAAAAAATCCCCACCCCAAAAAAGGAAAAAAGCAGGTGTCGGGTAGCTTCGTTTTTTTCTTGTTTATTGAGCAAAACACACACAAAAGAAATGCACAATATATTTCCTTTCTATGCACAATATATTTCTTTTTTTAAAGTTTTCTGACTCATCCTTTCAGAATAATCCAAACAGTCGGAAAACCGTGGACACCTCTGCCAATCTTCCTGCTTCCAACCTTAAAAAAACAGCTAAGTAAACACAGTAACAAACTCTGCCTTAAAGGTGCAAGATCCTATATCTACTTTGACCCAATTAAAAAAAAAAAAACATGACTGTGCTTCAACACCATTGCTGACCAAATTATAATAGTGCAACATCAATATTTTAGACGCTATGAAGTTATTAAACTGTTTCCCAATTATCAATCATAATTGCCATAATTGCTATTCTACTGCCCCTACAAAGAGCCTAATAATGTTCTTCATACTAACGGGATATATATCAAATACTGAGAGCAGCTTGTTGAACATTAGCACCAAACAGTTTGAAAAAATAAGCAAGGGTGGAAGAATTGTAGGCTACTCACCTGACCCACAACAGCAGCTCATCTTGGATGTCTGTTAGTGCAGAAGATCCTGATGTGACTGTATTAACCACAGATCCTCCTTTAAATAAACAGAAGCTGTTAACTCCCCCAACCACATCCTCGTCCTCAGAAAAATTCTATAGCCTAAAAAGGAAATATTCACCTACAACTACTCACACCCTCTAATTATATGGAGGATCAGAGAAAATTCAAAGTTACACAAGTAATCCAAAGAGGGAGCAGTTTTGCCTCAAGGGGTAAACTTTGATGACAGTTGATGGAGACACGTTATAAGGGTGGTGCTGATGCAACTGCAGTTAAAGGACCTGATGGCTAAAATGTATTGAATTCCTGAGAACACAACAGTAACATAATACATTAATATCCATAATTACAGATAGTTGGACATATACAGTTACTGCCTGAGTTATAAAGTGATCTAAATAAGCAGCAACATTAATAAAAAAATAATATACTGTATTAAAAAATAGTTACCCTCATGGTTCTGCCCTTTGTTTGGCTTTCTTTTCCAGTTTCTAGTTTCACTGTGAGTTTGTGTTATGTAGTGGTTTTCTGGCCGTGTCCACCAACTCTGACAGAAGAAACCAGCCATAATGGATTTCACAGAGCCCTGCCTGGAGGACACCAAAGCAAACCTTTTGATAAATATGGGAAATGCACTGGACATGATCTCCTCTCTCAGCCCACCTTGGAAGAGGGTGAGTACGCTGGACCAAATAAAAGACTTTCTTCTCCCTAACCCCACTCTCACTTCCACCTTAGAAATGTCAGGACTATTTGTAGAGTTTGATTGGAACTTCACCACCCAAACCATCACACCTTCTCCTTCCTGCTGAACTGCTATGGCCTCAGCCCCTGCTCCATTGCCGCTGACCCGCATGTGCAGGCACAACCACCGGCGGAAGAACACCATTTCCTCCCCTGCGGGTCGGAATTATGCTGACACTTTCTCCCCGGTGGGTTTGGCCTGCTGCCAGCCTTACTCCACTGCTAAGCCAGGTGTGTTTCCCCAGTGGTCTCAGCCGTCACCTGCTTGATTCCCTGCTGTGACCACCCTTAAGGATTGTTAAACGAGTTACAGCCCTGAGCAGAAGCAGCACAGAATGCGGGCCAAGCTCTGTTTATATTGTGGTGAGGCGGGCCATTTTGTTGCCTCTTGTCCTCTGTTGGGAAAAGCCAGGGTCCACCAGTAGAGAGAGGGCTACTGGTGGACCAGAAGATTTCTCCCTCCTCACCTTGTCTTGTAGAGAATTAATACTACACCAATGATTTAGAATATAGTGGATAAATGTTTCACCATAAGTACATTTGTGTTATAAAGGCCAAAGAGTCCAAAGAGTGTGCAGCAGCATGGATAAAAATAAAACACTGTGCAAGGCCAGGTGCAGCTTTGAAGTTTGAGAGATAAGAGCAGGAGGGAAAAAGACAGGTTATGGACGGGAGACAGAAGTATTGGACTGAGTCCAAGGCTTTTGATACTACAAGGTTGCAGAAATGAGGCCTGTTTGTAAGACATACGCATTGAGAATGGAATATTCAAGGTTGCACAGCCCAGCTGTACTAAATTGTGATATATTGAGTTGTCATATCAAAATAAAACAAAGCGATACGGCACGGTACTGGACGACACAAAAGTGATGTGTTACTGAAATTTTGAGCATCAAGGTTATGCTGACTTTTTTAATGAGTTGTTATGAAAACATAAGTCACACTGGATGAAAGTGTAAAGAAAAGGCTTTGATAGATCAAAGAAAGGCTTTAAAAAAAATGCTCCTCGAGTGAATATAAGTGGGACTGTTTCGGCATGTAAGTCAGATGTTTACCGGTATGCATCTCGGGTGGTTCATCTGTATTTTGCAATAAACCACTCTGGACCTGGACCCAGCTGCCTCTGCCTGATTTTTGATCATTGTTTGAAGACTTTTCAACTGTTTTTTAAAAACTTAGAATTTTTATAAGACTTAGCACCAATTTTGAAGTCGTTGGGAGGACATTTCCACGACAGTCTACTCCTTCCTCCATCTCTGCTGCTAAATAATAGATCCGTCTCCTTATCGGCTCTGATATATTCTGGCTGTGAACGGAATCTAATTGACTCTATTTTTGCTCAACAGATGGGAATAGAGCTTATTCCCCTACATAACCCTCTTCGTGTTTTTGCCTTGGATGGCAGAGATCTGCCCCAAATAACCGATCAGAATACTCCTCTACAGCTAACAGTTTCTGGTAACCACATTGAAAACATCTCTTTTTTTGTTTTCCCTACAACTAACTCAGCTTTAACTTTGGGTTTCGAATGGCTCCAGGCTCATAATCTCTCAGTTAATTGGACCAGCAGACATGTGGACTCATGGTCCGTTTATTGTCACTCAGACTGTCTCAGATCTGCTGTTCCCCCAGGTTTCCAGGTTCAGGACCAGTGAGTCAGACACCATCGATCTCTCCTCCGTCCCTGCCGACTACCACAACCTCTCCCAGGTATTTTGTAAATCCAAAGCCTGTTCTCTGCCTCCCCACAGACCATACGACTGTGCCATAGACCTGCTTCCTGGACCTCCTCCGCCCGGCAGTCGCCTTTTCAACATTTTCAAGCCTGAGAGGGAGGCTATGGAGAAGCACATAAAGAAGTCTCTAGAAACCGGCATAATCCGTCCCTCATCTTCTCCCCTTGGAGCGGGCTTCTTCTTCGTGGCAAAGAAGGACGGATCCCTTTGGCCCTGTATAGACTACAGAGGTTTGAACCAAATTACTGTTAAAAACAAATATCCGTAGCCTCTCTTGTCTTCAGCTTTTGAACCCGTCCAAGGAGCCACAGTTTTCACTAAACTGGACCTCAGAAACGCATACCACCTTCTCCGCATCAGGGAGGGAGACGAATGGAAAACCGCCTTCAGAACTCCCATTGGACACTTTGAGTACCTGGTAATGCCTTTTGGCTTAACTAATGCTCCCACATGCTTCCAGGCTTTGGTCAACGATGTTCTCCGAGATTTTTTGAATATTTTTGTTTTTGTTTATATTGATGACATCCTCATTTTTTTCAAGAACCTTTCTGAGCATAAGATCCATGTCTGCCAGGTCCTCCAACGCCTGCTCGAAAACAAACTATTCGTGAAGGCTGAGAAATGTGAATTTCACAGACCATCTGTTTCCTTCCTTGGTTTTATCTTGAGGGCGGACAGGTAAGACCCACTGAGGAAAAAATTAAGGCTGTTTTGGACTGATTCGCAAGCAGCTCCAACGCTTCCAGGGATTTGCCAAATTCTACAGGTTTATCAGCAACTACAGTCAAACTGCTCTTCCTCTGACAGCCCTGACCTCTTCCAAGGTCGCCTTTGTTTGGTCCCCTGAGGCCGTCTTAAGAAACTTTTTACTAATGCTCATGTTCTCACTCAGCCAGATCTCTCCAGACAGTTTGTAGTGGAGGTGGACGCCTCGGATTCTGGAGTTGGAGCTGTTCTCTCCCAAGTTGCCGGTACTGATAACAAGTTACACCCCTGTGCCTTTTTCTCTCACAGACTCAATCCTGCTGAGAGAAATTATGACGTCGAGATTGACAACCATCCTCACCATCATTGATCGTTTTTTCAAGGCCTGTCATTTAGTCCCTCTGAGAAAACTCCCTACAACTGTGCAGACAGCCCAGCTTCTCGTCAAGCATGTCTTCCGCCTTCATGGTATTCCCCTGGACATTCTGTCTGACCGTGGCCTACAGTTCATAACCCAGGTATGGAGAGGTTTTTGCTCGGCACGTGGGGCCAGGGTCTCTCTCACTTCCTGTTACCACCCCCAATCCAATGGTCAAGTTGAACGAATGAACCAGGAATTGAAAACCAGCCTCAGATGCCTCACTGAAACTGATCCGACTAACTGGAGTAAACTCCTGTCCTGGGCAGAGTATGCTCATAACTCTAGTGTCTCCGCAGCTACTGATCTGTCACTGTTTGAGATCTCCCTAGGATACCAGCCACCACTTTTTCTTCTGAAGAGGCAGACATCGCCGTACCCTCCTTCCAGCAATACATCCGCCACTGCCGGACCTTCTAGAAGCGGACCAGGATGGCCCTGGGAAGGACCTCCCAGCAGAATCAAAGGTGGGCTAATCGCAGGAGGAGGGCTGCCCCTTCCTGTCGCCCGGGCCAGAGAGTCTGGCTCTCCACACATGACATCCCCTTCAAGTCCATGTCTAAGAAGTTGTACTATCAGGGCTCCAGTCTTTGTGTTTGTTTTTTGTGTGTATCTCCCTTCAGGTGGCGCCTGGTTCTGGTCTGCCTCCTCACACACTTGCTGATGGTTACCTCGTTAACGGAGTGCTCTTAAGCTGCTGACTGCCACTACCTCGACGCCAGAGTGTTTGCAAGTTTTTGGTACTCTTGCCAAGCTGAGTTTTCGCTGACTAAGACTGAGTTCTTGTCTACCTGAGTTTTAACTTTGTTTTTAGTCTTTGCCTCTCGGCAGGAAGTCATCCTGCAAACTGGACCTTTTCGGACCTCCACTCCCAGGAGGGATCAACTGAGCCTTAAACTGAGCCAGGGATTCAAACAGGAGGTTTGGATCCAGTCTCCTTGAGAGGATGTTGAAATTACTCTCTGAGCAAGGGAATCATCTTCACTATGACCCGTTCAAGTACAGCAGGAAATCTGAGTGGCAATCAGCGTCTCCGTTCACCTACACCGAGTTCTGGGTAAACCCTGTCCGCCCTCCACCGAATCAGACAAACCCTGGAAAAACAACTCACAGATTGGAGTCAAAGATCCTTCACTTCTCTGGAAACGTGAGTCAACAACCAGATCCTTTTCTTCAAATCAACGAATGAAATTTCCCACTGAGCCTGAACTAATAGTCTGTCTTCCCTTCACCTTCCAGTTCCGGCTGAGCAGAGTTCAGAGCAACACTGCACCGTGCTTAAACTCTTCAATAAAACCTGTTAAACTTTTCAACTGTGTCCCTCTGAATTGGTTTCACTGCATGTGGGTCCGAGCTTTAGATAAAAACATGACAAGGGGAAAGGAGACTGGCACATGGGGTCAACAGAGAGCAACACAAAAAACACAACACTGCCAGCAAACAAATACAATGACACAAAATCATAGTGAAACAAAAAACTTAAAAATAAACCCAAACAAAGGGGAGCAC